GCTATTGTTGTATTTATATTCCGTGGATACTTAATCATTGTTCCAATTTCGTTTATATGCTACTTTCATAGTCGTAAAACTTCTCGTTTACGGAATTCATTAAGGATATCAAATCTATCAGAAACCGGTAATGACTCAAGAACTCACAACATAAAACATCAGATTCGAATGACGTCACGTATGATCTTGGTTGTGTTGTGGATTTATATTGCATCGTCGACTCTCTTTCCCATTTCTTTTGCATTGATTTACTATCGAGTGTGTTCGAATGAGGAAAATTGTGCACAGATTCTTATTGCGTCTCGCATGGCCTGGTTGGTGAATTTCGCATTCAATCCTATTGTATACCTGTCTTTCATGAGTAAAATTTTCAAACATAAACCCAAAAGAAGACAGGTCATCAAATGACTGTAAATGTTGAGTTTACGTCTACTAAGTAATTGCTGTTTTAATGATTTTATCCAAGATTATGATCTTGGTTTGATTAATTTCGACATGTCTTTCCATATTCGTTTAATAGGACTGTGTATTGAATAAAGTCAATATGGATACGATACTGGGAGGGCTGTCGATTAAGTCCGTAGACAAATGTTATACTTGTCTTTGTAATGAAAATTTTGTATAAGACACGTCTGACTTTGATTTTCATAAAAATATTTTGTAATACACTAATTATGTCTAGAACCATTTATTTTGAGAAAAGCGGACTTATCCACCATCTGTACGAACGACCTAGGATATATAACAATAAAAAACACAAGAAAACATTGATGTAGCCATCAATTGTCGCCCGGGAAATAAATAGAGTAATCAATGGAAATTAGTCGTCTTGATCATCAAACCTCTTCGACATATGTGAAAAAGGCATGCGTCTAGATGATGGAGACGATAGTCGAGATTATTAGCTCACCTGAGCCGAAGGCTCAAGTGAGCTTTTCTGATCACATTTTGTCCGTCGTCCGTCCGTCTAGCTGTCTGTCCGTCTGTAAACTTTTCACGTTTTCGACTTCTTCTCAAGAACCACTGGGCCAATTTTGACCAAACTTGGTACAAAGCATTCTTGTGTAAAGAGGAATTTGAATTGTTAAAAGGAAAGGCCAAGTCCCCTCACAAGGGGAGATAATCAAGAAAAGACAAAAATCTGGTGGGGTCATTAACAAATCTTCTCAAGAACCACTGGGCCAGAAAAGCTGAAACTTATGTGGAAGCATCCTGGATTCTAAATTGTTCAAATTATGACCCCCGGGGATAGGGCGGGGCCACAACGGGGATTCAAAGTTTTTCATAGAAATATATAGGAAAAATCTTTAAAAATCTTCTTCTCAAGAACCACTGGGCCAGAAAAGCTGAAACTTATGTGGAAGCATCACGGGGTAGTGTAGATTCTAAATTGTCCTAATCATGACCCCCGGGGGTTGGGCGGGGTCACAATTGGGAATAAAAGTTTTACAATGGGGAAACAAAGCATCATATGATAGTGTAGATTTCAAATTGTATAAATTATGATCATTTGGGTAGGGTGGGTCACAATATGTATTACAAGGGGGAAATCTGGTAAAGAACGGAATGGCCAAAGCTTCTCAGGTGAGCGATGTGGCCCATGGTCCTCTTGTTTTGAAAACTTATAGTCGGATGAAAATTGAACAATAATAATACCCTTTCAAACGTTATTAATTCATCAAGTAAATGTTGTCTGCATAAAATATAAATTGAAACCAGACACATGCCTCACCTATATTCAAAAATGTATTTCACTTTAAGAATATAAAACACGAACTCTGTTGAGTGTGTTTTTATGCGGTCAATAAAATTCGATGTTCTATCGTTTTTTCGTTACTGTTTAAAAATAAATGTATTTTTCTTTTAATCATCCCCCTTTGCTTTCAACATTTTTTATGGAGAAAAAAAGATGTCCCTTTCACCATCATTTTCAAAAATATCCATTATTTAATCAAAGTTGTTCACTTCAGTGCGTACAAGACTTGATCTCCGAATCGCTTTGTCTAGGGATAAAACAAAAGTATACAAACTATTCAATAATTTAAAACATGAAAAGAAATCAAATTTCACGAATGACGTAAATACCATAACTGTAAATTATGAAAAAAATAGAATATAATTTACTGCGCTTTAATCCAATCTTCAAAAATCTGTGGCGCTTCACATCCACGAATAAATAAAGCCAATCAATGTATTATAAAAATAGTTAATCCTAGTTGTACCGTGATACTTTGATACCTTACCAGCTAGGCCATCTTTGAAAATTGATTGGATGCTCTCTCAAGACAGACTGAATAAAAATGGCCCGACTCAAAACGTTTTTGTTTTGCATTCCATGACAAGATATTTCTTTATCATTCCTCTAGCTTGTCCCATAAACAAAGATACTAAAATTTCCTGGACAAAAAGTGTTTCGCCTATCTACCGACCAAATAATTTTACCCTGGGTCGAGTGGTATTATTTTAAAGATGGCCGTATAAAAACTAATTACAATTTACAGGTTTATTTTATTTGCCTAAATTTTAATATCATAAATGAGAAAAGTTAATTAGAAAATCGATAGATGTATACACATGTACCTATAAATTTCTTGATAGAAAAAAATGCATGTTAACATGTACATTTATCATGACTTAAGGATATTTTTGACATAATTTTTAAAACTGTCATCTTCTTAAGTTTTATATATTTTTATTGTTAGTAGAGAAAGGATGGAAGAAGAACAATCAAGCAATGTGTTACAAAATACTTAAATAAACAGACAGCGACTATATTGTATGCAAATTTAACGTCCGAGGATATAATACCTTATGCATTCATGATGTTTTACCGAGCACGATTTTGTTTTTCAAATTTTGAAATCAATGTCACTCAGAATCATAATATGACGATAAAAAATGTTTATTCTAGTGTTTATGAAGACCTAAAATTGGTTTACCAAGTGGAGTGAATTCATAAACACTATGTTTTTTTTATCAGTCCAAGTTTACCTAACTTTTTCAAACTAGTATTTTTAAAAATCATTTTCGTACAAAAATCTTAGTTGTTGTTTAAATTTTGACCAAGGCATAACAAAACAACACACGCACAAACACAAAACAATATTACATTAAAAACAAAATATGTATCTTTCCATCTGAAAAAAAAGAAAAGGGATATGATACTTTCATATAAAATGAATGATAATAAATATCATCTATTCTAGGTATGCATTCATAGAAATTATACAGATGGAAAGATAAAATATGGTACACAGCTAGTTTTTGAAATGATTTCATAGTCCTTTATTTTGATTGCGAAAACTGTTTGTATATTTTTACACTAAAATCCTCTTTATCTGAAGGTTTTAAAATTCACGCATCGCCATGTCCTTTTTTCATGTAGAGGGCAGTTGTTTTTTTTAAGATGGTATTTTTTCAAGTCTCAAATACTGTTATAGGATCCTTTTTTCTTTCCCCGTCGAACTATAAATAGCACACCATCCTGCAACAAAAATACAATCAAATAATCCCCTTACCGCTTACTCCTTTATTTCAGTGTATTTTGTAAGATGAAAGAACAACGTATGGAGTAGATCTACTATAAAATAAAAATATGTTGCATATTGTTAAAGGCCAGTTTAGTCTCAATGCATATAACGGCATTTCAGGTATAAGTCTCATCTTTTTTGCCATTTTTAGTTATGTTTTTTTTGTGTATACCTAGTATACAGTTCTATTTGCATGATTGTTCTATAATATAAGATAGGGCAAATTTTATATATGCATTTCAATTTTTTTTATTATATGTACCTTTTGGGTTGTTTTTAATTTTTCCTTTGACAGGTGTAATATATATTTAATATCATACAATACTGCTGTATATTTATGTTATTTTACTTCATTGGCATTTGTAATAAATGCTCTTTTCAATTCAAAATATGTTGATATAATTTTTTGGGCAAAAAGAATAGATTCTAAGAGAATAATGAAGATAGGTATTTCAAGTAAAAATATACGAAGGTATAAATATTAATATGGGAAGTGGCGGGGATCGATGTTCTCGATGATACATGTATTTATCATAAGTGCGTTTATAAACATTGTGTGTGCTTTTCTATTTAAGAATACCCGATCCTCAGCCAGGAAGGATAACAAAAAGTAATATTTAATTTAAAAAGCATCAATATGAAGCTTGAAAATGAAATTTTTTCATGCAACAATTTTCATTTTTTTCATCTTTATATGATTCAAGGTTATTGGAAGTCTTAAAAGAGGTGTTATAAAAGTTGACATTTGTACCCTATGAAAGGAAAAAAAATAAAATTTTAGAGAAATAAGATGTTCTTGAATCAAGCCTTAAATACCAATGTTTATCAGCATGATATGAAATAAGAAGTGATTTGTGGTGTCTTGCAATGATAGCGAAAACCTTTTACACTATATATTATAGAATCCATGAAGAAAATAGAAGACACAGAATACCAAATAAGTAAAAAAAAAATCATGACAATTTTTCTGAAATCCTGGATACCTATTGTTTTTTAACCTTGGAATAACAAAATGCATTGCTGATATTCTTATTCGCTTTTACTGCAAAAATATTAAAGATTTGACAATTTTCCCTATGTAATAGGATTTAACTTTAATCCTAAACTTTAAACTGTGGATAAATTTACATAACTTTGTGGATTCAGAGATATTTTTATGAGTATTTTTGATTATTTAACTGCTAATTTTATAAACCTGAGGATCGGACTACCTTGAAATGTTGGCGATAAGTTTTGTTTGAAAATTTTATTATTGTTTTTATATATATATAAAAAAAATGACCATGTGTTTGATGTGATTTGATAATGAGCGGAAATTTTCTAATTGTTTTTATAAAAAATGTTCATGACTTTGAACTGTGACTGTAATTTGATAATACTAGTAACATTCTAAATCTTTGATGTGTGAGGAACCTTGCCTTAAAGGACTACTTGGAGTGCGCATGTTCTTTTGACACTGAAATTCTCTTGAAGGAAAACCAAAAATTCATGGCCAGAATGAACGAAAAGTAGCTGTAACAAAAAATAACATAATTTTTTATGTTAATAAAAGATTATCTAGGAACATACCTTAATAAGACCGGGAAGTCCAAACCAGAAACTAGAATTAAGTAAAGCATTTTTGCCACTATTCTTCCTTATAAAGATTTGGAATAACACTCCGCCAATTAGATAAACAAATAACAGGCCAAAAAATCTAAAAAAAAAATCAAATATGGAGTATACTGCAGCAAAATGGTTGTAAATTTACAATAGACTGTTTATATCATTATAAGATTTCAAAAGCTTTTGGTAAAAAAAAGTACTCAGATCCCATTTTTTATAATGTATACATAATATCAAGATTTCTGAAACGATACATTTACTAACATTATAATAAGTATGCTCCCTGCTGATATTCCACCACTGTCCTTCCGGGGACATGCGTATTTACTTTGAAAAGTTAACACCTAAAATTAATAGGATTGATTTGTTATATGTTGTTTTACATCCTGTTCGAAAGTTTTTCCACTCATATAGAGGCATCACCATATACCATCGAAGGGCTTCAAATAATAAAATGAAATAATAATTCAATTAATTACATAAAGTATTTTTTGGGGTATATTGTATGCTATGCTTTAAAAGATATATGATTATTCTGTCCTTTCTTTCAATGGATATTTCTAAGTTGCTATTGTTTGAATACCTTTCTAAAGATAATACATATAATCCCAAAGTATTACTCGTTTCTTCTTTTATTATTTCATGGTTTTTATAAATATACAGATTCTATAGTATCTAGGTTCTTTTGAAGCACCGTTTGAAAATGTCAACTCCTTTTTCTAGCGTGACAAATGCAGTATAATATTTTTGTAATACTCCCATAGGTTGCGGAGCCTGTCTACCCTGCAGGGGTGAAAACATCCGGGCCATCAGCACATTTTAGATATAACGTTGTTGTTCTTAAAATGAAAAAAGACGATGAAGTAGGCATATAGCACAGTGCTATTAAAATTACTTTTCATATTGACAGTACTTGTAGCTTTGTGAGGCAAAAAAAAAAAATATTGAAAGTTAGATAAAATATTATGAAAAGTAGAATAAGCGTAAATGACATATGAATGAAAAAATAAGTTTTTTAAATAGACCAATCTATATAATTTAAACTTTATATAAAATGACTTTTATGCTAAAGTAAAATTAATGTTATTAAGTTCTGGACATATAATTAGAAGATAGATAAACCCCAATTCTAAAGATCTTAAACATGTGTTCCTATATCTAATGTTTGGTAATTTTTGGTAGCATTGCAAGCAGTTAATTAATAATTGATTGGCTACGATTAATATTTTTCTAGCTTTTATAAAGAAAATAAGATCACGTGATCCTACCTAACGTCATTGCTTTTGAACACGGTATCTGCGCTGTACGTTATTGTGTATAGATCATTACCAGTATCATATCCGAACATCGCGCTCTCCTGTGTACCACAGTTATACTGTATACCTCCGTGAGTCTGGCATACCTACAATATTAAATATCATTGTGTAACATTACATTACTTTTGTATGGTAGTTGATGCTCTGATTAGAAAATCTAAGGGTTTTTTTTCTTTTAAAAGATGTTTATTTTTGTCACCCTTGCCAGTGAAAGGTTTCAAACTTAGATATTTTTTCGTCATTCATTTGACATTGAGTATTGAGCTTTGAGGGATTCTTTTAACTTTGCACCCAGCATTTGACCTCGGTTTAAATGGTTCCATCCATTAAACCGGGATTCTAAGCAGCGACCTATGGATCAACTCCCCAATTATTTCTTTTGTCGAGGAAAAACAACCACTCTAGACTAACCACACCGCCACACTTTTCCAAAATGAAGATATTATAACGAAAAGTCCAAACAGAGATATTGTATTTGAAAAAAAGTCCACAGAATACACATACATTTGGAAACAATATTCAGCTTTCACACAATTTGAACTGTTTAAAAGAAATATGACCCGGTTCTTAGTTTACACTTAATGAATACAGCATGTCTTACAAAGATACTTATAAATAAACACCTAGACTATCACATGTCCAGAGTCATACGCGCTTCATTTACAATATTTGTAAGGTCTGAAATTCTAAATTCGATATAATAGTTTCATTGCAAAGGTCGCAGACATTAGAAAATAATATTTTGTATAAAATCAATGATTTGCAGATCAATAAGACTTGATATAATCTTGAAATCTACATGAACCAGAGGCGTAGTCACAAACTTTAAAGGGTGGGGGGGGGGGGGGGGTGGGGGGGCTCAACTCCATTAACTCTTTATCAAGCAAAAAAAAAGGGGGGGGCATCAGACGGTTTTAATCAGGGGGGCACCAGCATATAGTACTAGTACCTAATTTTCTGTAGTATTCTATATATTGCATTCCTTATCTCATTGATAGCGCTGCTAATTTATACATACCCCTTCCTATGGCACACCAATTTCACAAAAATGAGATAAACCTAGTTTCACTATTGATAAACTAGGTTTATCGACTATCGACTATAGTTTACAAACTGTAAAGTATAGTTAACGATTCGTTAAGTATAGTTAACGATTCATTAAGTATAGTTTTCATTTGTAAAACTATTTTTAACGGCCATAAACTATAGTTTACGAATACTAATCTAAGTTTATCTGTCTGAATAAAGCGTTAACAATAGATTTTGTTGATGAACATAGATTCACGTTTGATGAAAATGAAAATAGCAGGAAGGTATGGCAAGCCAAATCCACAAAATTAAGCAAAACATAGTTTCACAGTCGATAAACTAGGTTTATCGGTTGTAAACTATAGTTAACGGACTGTAAACTATAGTTAACAACGTTAATCTATATTTTACATCTGTAAACCATAGTTAACGCGATATCTATGTATCTGTGTTTCACAACCATAAAGTATACTTAACATCGAAAACAATCATTTACAATTGCAAAACATAGATTATCTGATAAATACAGTTTCACGATTTGTAAACTATAGTTTACAAACCGTTAACTATAGTTAACGATCTGATAAATATAGTTTCACGATTTGTGAAACTATGATTCACAACTCTTAACTACAGTTTACGATTGTAAACTATAGTTTACAAACGTGTAACTTTTAAAATATGCTATATTTGAAGCCTTTTTCCGAAGGAAAAAAATGGAAAAATTGTATCACTGTCTCCTTTGAAATTAAATTATAAGGAATGAAGCTTATTTCAACTTATGTTATACGATATAAAAAAACTTGGGTCAGTTTACGCTTTTTTAATAAACCGCTTCGCGGTTTATAAAACGTAAACTGCCCCAAGTTATGTTATATCGTGTAACATAAGTTGAGATAAGCTTCATTCCTTAATTAGTATTGTGATGCTAGATATGTATATATAATTGAATAATTAGATAATCATTTAGATAGCATATCCTAGTTTTTATATCGCCAGCGAGTAGCTCTTTACAATCTATCTATACTTATAAATTAGCAAATTTTGAAAATAAACTCTGAAACGGCTGCACAAGAGTTCTTACTAAAGCCTGTAGGAATACACTAGGTATGAGGTGATGTCCGTAAACTATATTCAGATTTCACTCACATAGTAATTATCGTAAATTTAATTGAAAGTCTATTTTCATTTTCGATTTACAGTTTCGAAATAGCACTGAAGAGAGAAAAGTGGTGGTGGATCTAAGTAACTGACACCTTAAAAAAAAACTGACAAACAAGAAAGTGCTTATTCATTTCATAAAACGTCATTTATGAATTGATTTGAACGATATAAAAGAAAGAAGCTTTGGCCATTGATTAAAAAACAAAATGTGCATATTCCTTTCCGTTTATGTTCGATCTCGCTATTTGTTGAAAGTTCTAGAAAGTCAGGTGGTATCGAACCCGATGTCTAAAAGAAAATCGAGGCGATTGTTCATCATGAATGGTGTAAAGAAATTGGTAACACAATGAGTTAGTGAATATATCGTAGTAAGTTGTGCTAATGTTTTATAAATAAATGTCGATTAATGGCCATGGTTATTTGTTTAGACAGGTACAATTTGATTTCTAAATAATTTACTTAAATGCTTTAAAATATGTTCTTTGATGAATACTTTCAGTTGATTTTCTACATATAGTCTTTTATTTTTAAAACTTATTTATACCTATTAGGCCTGTTTGTACATTTGGGATGAAAACTAAGCCTTTTTAAAAAATATTTTATATGTAGTACATGATGTAAATATAGTATAACAAGAGAAAGTTGCTTATAACATATAAGAAGAAGAGGCCTTTAATGAAATTGATATTTGTACAGGTAAAAAAATTTCAAAATATTAGGAAATGTATTTCTTATAATTATCTATTTATGCTCCTAAACTAATTGCGGGACCATTATGTATTTTGTCATGCTATATTCCTGTGTAATAAACTGTCAATAGAATCTGAAAAATTAGTTTTTTTTAAATTGTGCTTTACAAAAATTTAATTTCCTCCGCGCTTGCGCGGGATTTCAGCTAGTTGATTCATAAAACGATCGCCTATCCACACGGGGGATTCGCTGCTGCAAAATCGCAATGTGTGGGGATTTTTAACCATCAGTGATAATGCATGTTTTAAACAGACGGAAATTTATTGAAGGAAACTCAAAAGTATATATTTTTTAGAGGAATCCATGCTTAACATTTCACTATTATTCTTTCCTGTGGCAACACAACATTGGTTTCATTGTAATTAACATCTTTACAGTGTTAGAAGGTATGTATCGTATGCGAAGTTTACTACTTACATGTTATTTGTACATTTTTTAAAACATCTATGTATACAAGATACATTAATTGGAATAAGCTCTGAAAATTGTTTGATAAAAGGATGTTAACCGATTAACTGCAAAAACGCTTAATAAGGTACCATTAATATATTAATCGGATTTAGTATCATATTTATGTAAAGGATGGAAAATACTTAAATAACCTTTAAGTTAAAACAAACTTGCGTGTTATTATATGCAAAAAAAAAAAAAAATAAATAAAGTGTTTGCATTAAATATATATTTTGAGCCCAGGCTACAAGATACTTATTTTTCTATTTTAAGTAACTAGCAAATAAAAAGAGCATGTTACAAGTTCAATGTAAATCCTTATCATGTGCATTCAAATATAATTTATTATAAACAACATTAAAATACATAAAAAATGCGACACGACTATTACATTGAAGCTGTTGATGTAATCGCAGATAACAATTGTTGAATTCGTAACATGGCTCACTTAAACAACCCACTCGATCTCTTACTTGTGAAAAAAATTGTAAGCAATTAAAAATAAAAAGTTTCATTTCCTCATTGGCACTTTTGATTCTTCATTGAAATTAGAATATCGAATATACCAAGTTTGGAGAAGATTTTTAAATTTCCATACCAAACCCTCTCACTTTTTCGTAGGCTACTGTCTGGAGCTGTTTGCTCTTTTTTGAAATACCATAAACATGAAAATGAAGATTTCTGTGGTAATTAATACACATTTTCTTCCTCAAATTTTGTAGATTTAACAACACTATGAACAATATAACCCAGATATACTCCAATGCTTCTTCAGTTAGATTTGAAAGCTTTGAAGAGATCAACAGGTCAATAGCCGTACAACGCCTTCCAACTGTTATCTTTTTAATTATTTTGATTATCATTGGAACCGTTGGAAATACATTTGTGCTTGTCATATATTCTCTGAAGTACCCACCCTCGACATTCCGACTGTACATCCTGACATCAGCTGTGCTAGACTTGCTATCCTGCTTAATTCCAATGCCACTAGAAGTCTTCGACAATGTATACCCGGTGATGTTTTACAACGAACCAATCTGTAAACATGGCCGTTTTTTAGGCAGTGTCCTTAAGATTGTATCTGCATTTGTCCTTGTTGCAATAGCTGCGGGTAGATATAAAAGGATTTGTCACCCATTCTCCAAGGCCACCAGCTTGCTGAAGGCTCGTCTCTACTGTGCATCAGCCATAGGTCTAGCTATTGCGTTTTCGTGGCCAAATGCAATCCTTCAAGGAATTAAACGAGTGCATCTTCCAGGTAATATTACAGGTTTTGATTGCACTTTTGATGACGCAACCATAAACACAAAATATCCTTTCATTTATTCTACGATACTCTTTGTTGTGTATATCACGGTGTTTTTGCTTCTAACTTCATTATATTCTCTTGTAATTGTCTCTCTTCGAAAACAAGCGAAAAAACAAAGAAGTGAATATCTTGGTGAGAGACTCGATAAAACACACCCAAGAATTACGAAGCTTATGATTGCAATCACGGCGGCATTTATATTGTGTTATTTACCAGACTGCGTCATGGATGCTGTGTCTACTTTCAAGGGAGGAACTATTTTCCCGCCAAGTCGCTTTGTTTTGGGAACACTTCCACTTTTAGCCAGAGCATTTTTCATCAACAATGTCATCAACCCCTTCATATATTTGATCGGGCAATCGAAATTTCGATATATCGTAAAGCAGTCATTAAGATGGATTTTCTGTGCCATCTGTTGCCGCACTCCAAATCAAGTGAAGAGCTTTGCCATGGAAGAGTAAATGTAGTAACGAAAGTAAAATCTAACGACAACTTAATGTCGATATAAATGTATATTTGAGACCATTCTGTTGCTTTAATTCATTTCTTATGAAGGAGGATGTTAAGTGCGATGGTGCAAATATATTACTTTATTACCTCTTCACGGATTATAAATGATTTACTTGCCTTTATACTTATACGACTAGACATTAACTTAATTCTGCACAGAGGTGTTGGGCAAAAGGTCAATCAGTTGAAAATATTGCGTATTCAAGTAGATACATGGATTTTTATCAGATGAATGATGCTATGTTCTTCAGTTATACAAATACACGTAATATTTGTTCAGATTCAATGTCATTTGTCAGGCTATTGTTCTAAATCATATGTATACTGATTTGTTATAATAAAAGGATGCTAGAGTTCCTCATTGAGACAACATTTATGAAGTCTTTGGAGACTAGGTCTTCTAACAAACTTTTAGACTTACTAAATGTACGAGGGGTGATCAAAAAAATCGCGAACTACATATTTACAAAACCGCAATTCAGATCAAAATGAAATTAGGCACACATAGAGTAATATACATGTACTATAAATAGCATATGTAAAGGAACGTTTTGTCCCGTGTTTGTGACGTCACAATGACATCATCAGGTAGACCACTTGTGACAAAAAAAGGTTGACTCAGACATATTCGAGAAACGAACGGCTGTAAAGTTGAATGTATATCTTAGAAATTCCTTTGTAGAAGTTTATTATAATTTGTACACGGTTTATGAAGACAAAAGACTTGCCATAACTTATGTCATTAATTGGATTGATTGTTTAAGTGAAGGAAAGGTGATGTAAATAAATGTGATGTTTGTTCTGTTGCCCAGTTAAAGCAAACTGGGAGAGAGACGTGTCCTTGGTTAAGCAATTTGGTTTGAAAGATCGCCAACATACAGTTAGAAAAATGAATGAATATATCTTTGTTATATTTACAGTACTTTCTTTCGTTTGTAAGGAATTTATTGTACAGAGAGGAGCGGCAGTCGAGTCGCGCAGCGACGAGACAGCCACGCGTCTCTGTATAATAAATTCCCTACAAACGAAAGAAAGTGTCTGTAAATGTCTTGTGTCATAGTCATTTGCATAGCCACTCCCTCGACATCAAACTGCACGCGACATTACGTCACAGGCCTAGGTCCATCGTAGACGGTTCAAACAAATCAGAAAGTACGAAGGAAACGCTTGCATTGGAAAGTCAAGCGATGTTAAAAGAGTGTGCAATTGTATTTGATGGATTCATTTAAGCAGTATGAATACTTCAAAAAACTACAAGGTACTGGAAACCTGGATCCGTCCGCAAAATGATCCGCTTCATTACTGTTACTACGGATATGGTTGCATACATGTCCGGAAATCCGAATGGAGTACGGTAGCCACAGGTGTCAAAATTATGGAATGCATTGTGAAAAAGTCCGAATGCATACTTATATATTATACGAACACGTATCAGTGTGCATGTAACTCAAGGAACCCAGGAAACAGGTACTTTTAAGAAAATCATCGAACTTCGCGTGTTTTCAATATTGTCGGATTTAAATTATCTTGTTTTCATTTGAATATCGTGTTTTTTAAATGAGTGAAATTCTCTGTATTGTTTTTTTATTTTTTGTTTAAAGCAGTTAACTAATGAGTTTACATGTATTTCTCTTGAAAATGGTTTTCACGTAATTCAGGGATGGAGTCGATTACATTAAAAAGTAATAAATCAAATTACAATTTCTTTGACTTTCTCTTCAATTAAATTACAGGCTCTATAAATCATGTAATTAATTGCTTTATAATTACTTTACAAAAACTAATTAATTAATAACAGTCAAATACAATTACTTTTTTGTTGAATTAACCCATCCCTGTCACGTATGCACTTATAGAGTGAAGGTGGGGTGGGGGGGGGGGGTTAGATTCTGTGAGATTTCTCATGTTTCCTCTAGATATTGTGTATAAGCTTACAGAAATTGAAAAAGAAATATTTAAAAACCATCGAATTCTGTCGGAAGTTATTGTACGTTAAATTGGAAGTCATCTATTAGAGGTAACATTTGCGTATAAATTGCAATTTATTCGAAGGGAGATGGTGTCACAACTGACCTCAAGTTGTGATGGATTCTTTCAATTAGAATTTACAAACCAAAATAAATAATATTTTGGAAGACCTCCTGTATATCAAGAAACAACAAGATTTATAAAAATTAACAATAAATTTATCTACATATGTACAATGAACAAAACACGGCTGAAAGTTCAATCATAGTTGTCACGCGAGTCTCACACCACGTTCCAACGTCATCCACGGTCCACCATATTGTCCACCATAGTGTCCCGTCCGGTCCACCATATCCTAAGTAGCCTCACCACGTAAACAAAACCCTCCAGTCCAAATAAAGCTTAATATACAATTTCTGGTCCCTGAGCTGTGGCATTTTACACATAAAAATCATACTGTCGGCCCCAGGTCTTGCTCTCAACGCTGCTACAAACATCCCTGAATCCCAAGATCACACAGCAGGGGAAACAGCTAAAACACACCCAAGTTCACACAGCATGGGTTACATAAAAGACACACCCAAGATCACTAAGCATGGGTAAAGTATAACTCACGACGTCCAGACCTCATCTGACAAACACTAGCCAACACCCAGCAGTATAAATAACTGACCAAACTACTCAAACGGGTTCGACGAGTATACGTTGATAAAAATAGCAACAAGTACAACTCAGTGACCAATAGTGCGTAAATGAAATAATCGATAACTCCTAATGCCCAAATAAAGACAACTCTTACCAATACCTGTACAATAAGCTAATTTAAAACATTGACACAATGCCACTTGTGACAATACCTCCCTTCTTGAGAAACAAAATGCAATTTTGTGACAAAAATCGAAAACTATGTACACAACAAAGTCTTTATGAACACAATCTTACTCAGGAACAACACGACTGAGAAAATCAGCTCCAATATTATCTACACCTCTAATAACTTCAGTTCTAAAGTTGAACGCTTGTAGAAAAAGAGACCATCTCATCAATCTGCTGTTTGAAGCTTTAGTCTTTTGTAAATGCAGTAGTGGTCTATGATCTGTCTCCACAACAAACGCTCTTCCATACATGTAAGACTGAAATTTCTGTATAGCCCATACGACTGCAAGACACTCATTCTCCACAACCGAATAACGTTGTTCTCTGTCTAGCGGCTTACGTACGCAACAGGAAATGTACGTCCATCATGCTTCTGCATCAACACTGCACCAACTCCATGATTAAATGCATCAGTTCTTAAGATGAATGGCTTCGTCAAATCTGGTAATCTGATAATTGGACTGTAGAGCAACATAGATTTTAAACTCTTAAATGAATTATCGTGTTCTTGTTTCCAGTCAAATATGTTTGGAACACCTTTCTTGGTTAAGTCAGTTAAAGGAGCAGCAATAGTGGAAAAGTTTGGCACAAATTTTCAGTAATAGCCAATCAAACCAAGGAAAGATCTAACCTGCTTCTTTGTCTCTGGCCTTGGCGCTTCTTGGATAGCTCTCAACTTCTTGTTGGTTGGCTGTAAGGTTCCTCCTCCAATAACATGACCCAAGTACTCTAGTCTCGTCTGCGCTATCTCACATTTGGAGGGTTTTGCTGTTAATTGCGCTCTCTGTAGTCTCTCCAGCATTTTTCTTAGTTCAGTAACATGTTCTTCAAAAGTTTCTGTATGAATGAGAATGTCATCAACAAAACTATCAGTATGCTCTAAACCTTTGAGAATTTTCCTCATTAGCCTATTAAAAGTAGCTGGACTATTTTTCATACCGAAGGGCATTACTTTAAATCTGTACAAACCATCTGGTGTTAAAAATGATGTTAAGTCTCTGTCTTCTTCTCTCATTGGAATCTGCCAATATCCCTTACATAAGTCAAGTTTAGAAAAGTAACGACTGTTACTAATTTTAGTCATGATTTCATCTGGATCTGGCATTGGTTCTGGATCAAAAATCGTTACCTTGTTCAAGTTACGAAAATCCACACATATTCTCTGGCTACCATCGGACTTCTTTGCCACGACAATCGAACTAGCATACGGTGATTCTGATGGTTCGATGATATCCATGTCAATCATATGCTGTATTTCTTCTCGGACTGCACTTCTGACTGCATAAGGTTCTGATATTGTCTGTTTCTGATCGGTTCTTTGGTAGTGAGATGAACTTCATGCTGGATAACATTTGTTCTACCAGGTAGATCTGTTAAAACTTCCTGAAATTCATGTAAAACATCATTTATGTTATCAAGCTGATCTGATGACAGTGAATGATTTACCTTAACATCTGTGAATGATTCTGTTGCCTTCATTGGAAGAAGATGTAACAAATGTTCATTACTTAAGTCCTCTGTTTCTTCCGATTCCAAAACGACACAAGATGCTAAAGTTGTTGGCGAGTCTGTATTCCTTTCCTCTCGAACATTGTATTTCTTCAACAAATTTGCATGAAACAAACGAATATGTCCATTCTTATCTATCTGGTAATCAGTTTGTCCTTTTCTATCAACTACTTTGAAAGGTCCTTTCCACTGCATTAAAAGTTTGTTATGGTCTGTTGGAAGCAAAAGAAGAACGAAATCACCAACCTTGAAAGATCTCGGCTTTGTCCTTTTATCATAATGTTTCTTGTGATGTTCTTTAGATTTCTGCAGTTGTTTCTGAGCCAGCTCACACGTTCTTGCCAATCGCTCCTTCAGGTCAAGCACATACTGGTAAGTAGTTTTCACTTCCGGGTCCTTCTCCTCCTTTGTCCACAGTTCCTTCAAAACTGCCATAGGTCCCCTCTTTCATGATGTTGGAGGTAAATTGCGTACCCATGTCTGACAGAACTTCTTTTGGAATGCCAACTCTGCTGAATACTTCTACCAATGCTTCTGCCACCGTCTCTGTATCGATGTTCTTCAATGCAACCGCCTCTGGATACCTAGTACTGTAATCTACAACAGTCAAAATATATCTATTGCCTTTGTCAGTAATTGGAGAAAGCGGACCTACCAAATCTACGGCTACCCGTTCAAATGGTGTATCAATAAGTGGCATTTTCTCCAACGGAACCTTCGTCACTTTGCCTTTAGGAAACGTTCCTTGGCATATGTCACATGATTGGCAATATCTCGTCACATCACCCTGGATTCCAGGCCAATAGAAATTTGACATGATGCGGTCTAGAGTCTTCTTTGTACCAAGATGTCCGCCTATGATACTGTCGTGCGCAATCTTCATAACTTTCTGTCGCAAAGGTTCTGGAACAACAGGTTGTTTATACAGTTTTTCATCACTAACCTTTCTTGAATGATAATGTCTGTACAACAGTCCTCTTTCAACACTAAACCATGTCTCTATATTTTCACCTATGTTCTTCTTTCTTTCTGCCTGTCACTGCATGCTCACGATACACTTTCAAGGAAGAATCGTCCATCTGAA